GCCTGCAACCAAGGTCTCTGTGGTGCCATTGACCTGAACTGAACCTGGGACCCTTTGGTCTACAGGCTGATGCTCTACCCACTGTGCCAAGCTGGCTAGGGCCCAAGTACATCCATTTTTATATCTTTCAAGTATAATCAGAGGAAAACAATGAAAACATTATATTTATAATGATGGTGGTGAAAAAGTTAATTTGGTATGAGGAAGGACTCCCTGATGGAGGGTAACAGAAAAGGAATCTCTGCCATTCCTGGCTCTCTGAGAGGGTCAGTCACTGCAGCACCTCGAAGGGCAGGCACTTGCTTGGAGGCCAGGGGTGAGGCGATTGAACTCCACCCCATTTGCCACCCCTAGAACGTACCCCGTGATCCTGAAATCAATTTTGCATCCTAATCCCGTTACCCCTGCACCTGGCAGGCTGAGTTTTGAGTGTATTGAATGAACACTAAGCTGGCTAGAGTTAGTTGACTGGGTTTCAATACCTTCTTGTCTGGAGGATTCCGTTTCCTCTGAGGACTGATATGGCTGAGGTTTCTCCCCTGGGAACACTGCTCCCTGGAACCGCAGGCTCGCTTCCCGGCATTCAGCTCACACCTTAGGTCCTTCTCCTGACTCCCACCTCTGGAGGAGTCTCACCCTTAATCTCTTTTCATTTTTATCATCCAAGTCATTTATATTTATTGCAGACATTTTAAGTGGCGGGGGTCGGGGTGGGGGGGAGGACAAAAATTGCCCGCCGGTGTGGCTGAGATTGAACATCGACCCATGAACTAAGAGGTCACTAGTTCGATTACTGGTCAGGGCACACGCCCAGGTTATGGGCTCAATCCCCAGTAAGGGGCGTGCAGGAGGCAGCCAATCAGTGTTTCTCTCTCATCATTGATGTTTCCATCTCTCTCTCCCTCTCCCTTCCTCTCTGAAATCAATAAAAATCTATTAAAAAATAAAGGACAAAAATCACCTATGGGCCCACCAACCCCAGAGATAACCAATATATTTTTGACTTATACATAGATAATTGTCAAAATAAAATAATATCAAACGTAATAATTGGGAACATATTTTTTTGTTTTGTTTTTATTTTGTCATGAAATCTTCATCTTGAGTATCTTTTTTATTTTAAAGCAATGTTTTTATCCCTAGCTGGTTTGGCTCAGTGGATAGGGCATCAGCCTGTGGACTGAAGGGTCCTGAGTTCTGTTCTGATCAAGGGCATATGCCTGGGTTGTGGGCTCGATCCCAAGGGGGGGGGGGGCGCGGCGTGCAGGAGAAAGCCAATCAATGATTCCCTCTCATCATTAATGTTTCTATCACTCTCTTCCTCTCTGAAATCAATAAAAATATATTTTAAAAAATGTTTTTATTGATTTCAGAGAGGAAGGGGAAGAGAGAGAAAGAGAGAGATCAGCTGCCTCCTGCATGCCCCCCACTGGAGATTGAGCCCAAAACCTGGGCATGTGCCTTGACTGGAATTGAAGCAGTGACCTCTTGGTTCATGGGTTGATGCTCAACTCCTGAGCCACACCAACCATCCCTGAGTATCTTTCTAAGTCTATAAATGTGTATGTCTACAGATGCATTTTAAGGAGTACTATACACACTATTCCATCATACAACTCAACCATCATTTAGTCATTCTCTCTGGTTGGTCAGGCTGTTACAGCGTCTTATCATCACTAATAATGCTATGGTGAACATTCTTGTACACATCTTTGCTTTCATCTTGTCATTATATGCTTAATCCAAATGATAGGAAATAAACTTAGTTTGAAGAGGATGCAATATTTAAACTTTAAAATGTAAAGTATGTTTCTAAAACCGGCATAATTTAAAGCCACAGACCACTCACTGTCTCCCCCTCTCCCCCCCCCCCCCCATCCACCTCTCTTCTGGGTGTGAAGGGTCTTGAGTATGTTTGTGACTTCTTGCCAAAGAAGTACATTTCTCTCCCTTTCCCAAACTGCCCCCATGCGATTTCTCTGCCCCTTCTCCTGTCTCTGAAATTATTGCCCTCTCTCCCTGCTCAGCTCTTCAGCTTGTGCATGAAAAGAGGCCACACACCAACCTGACAAGCTCAGAAAAGGCCTGCATGGTGGCCTTGCAAACTCAGAGACCTAAAGTTACCACAAAGGATAATCTGAAATGAAAACTTTTAAACTAAAAAAGCAGTTTATGGAGGGTAGTCATGTCCTAGGCCAGTATCTTCCTGACAAAGGTCAATCTTTACCTTACCAGAGACTGTCTATTGTCTTTTTGCATCTATACTAACATATCATTGGATGTCAAAGTAATTTTCCTTTTTCTGGGCCCCTCAAAGCTCAAGCACCACTCTGCTGAGACCACAAATCTCCTCACTGTTAACTACCCTGCACCTAAGTAAAAGACGTATGTGTCTATCATTTTACTTTTTCTCCAATCCCAGAGGTTCTGTCCTCCCCACCCCACCCCTGCCCCATTTGCTTTCTCCGCCTCCCTAACCTATCACCGATGGATTTCATGTAACCCTTGAAATCTCGTTTGATTGTGATGTATAAAAGAAGATGAAAAAATGCCATTCTCTGGAGTGTTATCTCAATCCATTACGATTCTGCTTCCGGGCAATTACTGACAGTTTGGCTCAAAAATTCTTCTCAGGTTTGAATGTTTTTTACGTTAACGAGCTCTGCATGTGGTACCTGAAACACGTTCATTCATTCAGGTAAGTCAGCAAATGTGCATGAAGCATTTATTCCGTGATAAGCCCTGGGAAATACAGAGGCGAGCGAGTAAAGTTCTTGTCCTCATGTAGCTTATAAATAGGAACAGGATTTCAGACAATGATAAATTAGATGAAGAACCAACAGAATAATGAGAGGGAATGGATGTGGAGGGATATTTAGATAACATAGCCCAATATATATATATATATATATATATATATATATATATATATATATATATATATATATATTTTAAGAGTTGACATATTTCTCTGTTGATGTGTCTTCCTCCCTTTGTTAGATGGGGATATGTTGTTGTTTTTTGTTTTTTTCCCCCCAGCCCTGTTTTTTTTAAATATATATATATTTTATTGATTTTTTTACAGAGAGGAAGGGAGAGAGATAGAGAGCTAGAAACGTTGATGAGAGAGGAATATCGACCAGCTGCCCCTGCACACCCCCCACTGGGGATGTGCCCGCAACCAACGCACATGCCTCTGATCAGAACCAAACCTGGGACCCTTCAGTCCGCAGACCGACGCTCCACAACTGAGCCAAACCGGTTTCGGCTTGTTTTGTTTTTTAATCTATATATATTTTTATTGATTTCAAAGAGGAAGGGAGAGGGAGAGAGATAGAGATAGAAACATCAATGATGACAGAGAATCATTGGTTGGCTGCCTCCTGCAAGCCCCCAACTAGGGATTGAGCCGGAAACCCAGGCATATGCCCTGACTGGAATCAAACCTGGGACCTTTCAGTCTGCAGGCCGTTGTTCTATCCACTGAGCCAAACCAGCTAGGGCATAGATGGGGACATGTTTTATGGTGTGTACCCCAGTGCCTAGCACATAGAGAGAGTCCAGTTAGTCGTGTAAGCAATGAGCGAATGAATGGGAGAGTAAGTGAAGGTGATGCCTGCTGCACTGCTCTGAGCCCAGATCCAGGAAAGTGGGTTCTTCCCTCGGATGCCTCATCTCATTACCTAAGAATGAATAGAAGACAGAGATGTTGGGGAGCTCACTCTACTGTACGGCCCGAGCTGCCCTGAGAGTCCGGACAGCAGCACAGCACAGAGGTCCACAGCAGACGCTTGATTTTGGCTCTGGTGTTTATCCACGCTGTGACCTTGAGCAGGTTACCCAACTCTGTGAGTCAGTTTTAAATCTAGAAGTGGAGATGATGGCACCTACCTCGCTGAGTGGTGAGGATTAAATGGATATGCGGTATGCAAGAGCGTGGCATGGAGACGGGCTCAGCAGAAGGGAGCAGCCAGCGTTGCTGGGCCCCAGCTGCCAGGAGTGCTGGTGGCTGAGTGACATGGAGTTGACCTGCTGGCTCCTTCAGGCCCCGCCCCCTCCCTGCCCGGGTGTGGGCAGCCAGGGCTGAGCAGGAGGCTGAGGGCCTGGGCATTCCTTCAGAGAGGAGCCAGCATGTGGGCATACTTTCCACATCATTCCAAATGTTTACCCACATCCTGACTTCTCTGGAAAAAGAAAGATTGTAAAAACAATATGAAGACATGGAAGGAAATTTTACAGAAAAAAAGTTAATTACCTATGATCTCAGCATTCTAGCCCAATGATGTTATTCCTTTCTGTCTAGTTTTTCCTGTTTGTCCAAAAGCATACATATTTTATATCCCTGCAGTTACAGCAATCTATTTTGTATTTTGCACTTCATTTAATGTTTTCATCATAAGTGTTCCTTCATAATCCTGTGGTCTTCAGACATAGAATTTTTAATGACAGCCTGATCTCCCACGTTGATGAACCAACCTCCATTTATTTACTCATTTTCTTATTGCTGGACATTTAGTTTGCTTCTTTTTGCTGTTAGAAATAAACATATACAGTATTCGTTTACAGCCTTTTAATTCTTTATGCTACATTGCTCCCCAGTAAAACAATTTACACTTTATATGATGTGGGAACTCACTCTCACCAACTATGCAGAGAGCTGTCAATGTGGCTGAACCTTGTTAACTTAATCTGATACATCATGGTGTTTACTATTCAAATTCCTGGTGAATAAAATTTAGCTCCTCTTCTTTGCTCGTTATCACTCTTATATATATATTATTGATTTTCCACAGAGAGGAAGGGAGAGAGATAGAGAGCTAGAAACGTCGATGAGAGAGAAACATCGACCAGCTGCCTCCTGCACACCCCCTACCGGGGATGTGCCCACAACCAATGTACATGCCCCTGACCGGAATCGAACCGGGGACCTTTCAGTCCGCAGACTGACGCTCTATCCACTGAGCCAAACCGGCTTCTGCTCATTATCACTCTTGATTAGATTTTTTTTTTTTTTATCACAAATAGGTTTTTTTATTTGTCACCATTAAATGTCTGAATTTTAAACAGATTCTTGGACTGGAGGCTCATAGCCATCAGCTCGTTCAACTTTAGCACCCGTCTCATCCCCAGTAGCTTTTCCAGAACTGCTACCTTCACCATGAAGCTCCATGAGTTTTCCCAATTCAAACTTGGGCTTCTTCAGCATTTTGACTTTTCTAACAAAGACATCATGGAGCGGATAGATAGATTGGCAAGCCTTTTCTATGTCTTTTCCAATGCTGTCTGGAATCAATTTATTGACCACTTCTTTCAAGTAATTTGTCTGCACCTCTCGGGTCATGATTTCCATCATTTTCTTCCGGATTTGTCGAACCTGCTGATGCTGAGCATAGGAAGTCTTCCGAATCTGATTGTTGCGTTTTTTAGTAAAACCAACACAGAAGAGACGAAGCAAATAACCATCGTTAGTCTTGACATCGATATGAGCTTCAATCATGGTCTGCCACTTCTTGACCATGGAGCACATTTTGTCCCGGGTAAGATCCATGCCATGGGAATTAGTCAGGCAGTTTTTGCCCTGAACATCCTCAGTGATTAGCTTGAATTTTCTAAATGCAACTTCATCATTCTGCAGATCAGCCAGGCTCACTTCAAAAACACGACCCTTCTGCTCATTATCACTCTTGATTAGATTTTTTGTTTTGTTTTTTTAATCCTCACCTGGGGATATTTTTCCATTGACTTTTAGAGAGAGTCGAAGTGGGAGAGAAAGACAGAAAGAGAGAGAGAGAGAGAGAGAGAGAGAGAGAGAGAGAGAGAGAGAGAGAGAGAGAGAGAGAGAGAGAGATTGGTTGCCTTTGCACATGTGATTGAGCCCATACTACCCAAGGTACATGCCCTTGAATGGGATCAAACCTGGGACCCTACAGTCCCCAGGCTGATATTCTATCCACTGAGCCAAACTGGCTAGGGCTTGATTAGGTGTTTATAAACCTAATCTTTTGTCTTATTTACTGCAAGATTTTTCTCTCCAGTTTGTCATGTTTCCCTGTGGGTTTTTTTTCTTCAGATTTATACTTTTTAAAAATTATAAAAGTAATACATATTCATGCTAGAAAAAAAGTTGAAAAATAAAATATACGTCACCTTTATGATCCTATTTCAAAACCAAGTGTAAAAATATTTTTTGAGTATATGGACTGGTTATTAGATGAGAGTAAGGGATTATTGTTAATTTTAGGAGTGTATAATAGCAGGGTAGATATATAATTTTAAAAAGTAAGCTTAGCAATTAAGACTGATGAGGGAAGGTTTCAGATTTGCTTTTAAAAACTCCAACACAAAAACAAACAAAAGGTTGGGGGAAATGATGTAAAACCAAACTGGAAGAAAATGCTAACAGAGTAATGCATATATGTCATTCACTTCATTACTGTCTAACTTTTTGAAATCAGTGATGAAAAGGTTAAAGCATCATCTTTGCAGGATCTTCCTGCCTGAAATTCCAACCCCACTCCTAACTCTCATTCTGCATTTCTCAGGCCCGTTTTGTTTTTTCTCCTTAGCACCTAATTGCTATCCGCCACATAATCCAAGCTCTTATCTCATCTGGTTAATTTGGTTTATTATCCCTCTCTGGCTGAAAGGCAAGTCCATCAGGATTTCTGTCTGTTCCGTTCCTTGCTCGTACCATCAGCAGTGCCTGACTACTCCAGTCATTGTCGAATGAGAAACAATCATTGCTAACATTTTTAAAATTACAGGTGTTTATTTTGACTTTACATTCAACAGAAGAAAAAAAAAAATACTGTAGTAGAATAAAGGACTTGCTGAACATCAGGTCATGATTCCTAAAAGACCTTTCTAGCATTTAACAAAGGTCTCTGTGGCCCTGGCTGGTATGGTTAGTGGTTAGAGCATCAACCTGTGCAGCAGAGGGGTCCAGGGTTCCGTTCCTGGTCAAGGGCCCTTACCTGGGTTGCAGGGCTGATCTCCATCCCCACTCCGGGCACTCGTGGGAGGCAATCAATCGATGTGTCTCTGTAACATACATGTTTCTCTCTCTCTCTTCCTCTCCCCAATCCCTTCCACTCTCTAGAATCAACAGAAAAAATATTCTTACTCCTCCAGTGAGGAGTTTTTTAAGTGTATTTCTCTCTATATATTGGGTATAATATGTATATATATTTTTCATTAGATGCAGTATACTGTATGTGAAAATCATCAAGATTTTGGAGATATTAAATTTTTCTTCTGCTCGTATCTTAATAGGCATAAATTTAATTTCCAGGCAGTAAAACTTAGTAACTGCTTTATAAACATCAGAATAAACAAGCAAGTGTGTGTGTGTGTGTGTGTGTGCATGTGTGTGTTTGTTGTTGTTTTTACTTACACATCAAGAATAAAGTGGAAAAATAGGCCTACTTTTATTATTCTCTGGAGAAAATAAATAGGGAATGGCTGATCAGAGAGAAAACATCCTATAAAATGTCCTAGCTGATAGGAGAAAGCCTATCATGAAGAAATGATTAGAGCTACTGTATTTCCTTTGTTGTTCTTTTTATTACTGTTTAAAAGAATCCATCACAGCCTGTAGACAGCGCCTGGGAAGGCACACAGGCATTTCTTCAATTATTGTCACCTGAACCCAAGGCGACAGGCAAAGCCATGTCTTGGATACACATCTTACCAAAAAGGCAGATGTGTTCTCAGAATGGACTCTTATCTTTGCCCAGGTGTTGGGGAGTGGGTTTTGATATGTAAATTCAGTCAAGCAACAGTAATGAATAGGACTTGGACCCACTCAAGAATGCAAATAGCCCTAACTGGTTTGGCCCAGTGGATAGAGTTGACTTGTGGACTGAAAGGTCCCAGGTTCGACTCCGGTCAAGGGCATGTACATTGGTTGTGAGGCAGGCAGCTGAATCAATGTTTCTAACTCTCTATCCTCTCCTTCTCCCTTCCTCTCTGTAAAAAACCAATAATATATATATATATATATATATATATATATATTAAAAGAATGCAAATAATCTCCTTTTCTTGACTTTTGGTGAAACTTCCTGGTATTTGGGGTATAAAATAAACACGCATTGGCTCTGGGTCACTGTCTCTCCCTCAGAAGAGGACAGTGGTCCCACCGGTACCAGCTTTTTTCTTCTATCTCTGTATCTTGTCTCTTTCTTTTATTTCTCAATCCCTAGCCTCTCTACTGGAAGAACCGGATCATCACTCTTTCTGTGCTGGATGTGGAAAAGAGAGACCCCCCCCCCCCCCCAATAACAGCTACCAATCGTTGGCCAGTGTGGAAAGGTGTCGCTGGGCAGACCTAGTCAAGGGGCGGGAGGAAGAGGCCCTCCTGCTTCCCTGTCACCAGCTTCTTCCACCTTCTTCCCTGCCTCCCCCACCTTGGCCTGCCTAAGTCTTCCCAACGTGGGCACTCAATTTCCCCTCCCTCTTCTCTCCCAGTCCACCCAGCTCCTTCCCTCACACAGCACACTGGTTTCCAGCCCTGGGGCTTGGGCTCACCTGAGAAGCTATGAAAACACAGACTCTGCCCCTGCCGCCTTGGGCCCCCTCTTTGCAGACCCTGACTCTGCAGGTCTGGGTGGAGGCTGGGAGTTTGTGGTTCTGTAAGTCCTCCATTTGGTTCTGATGAGCAGGTTTCGTGTCCTTCATTCTTCTGTACATACCCCAGAACTCACCACAATGGTAAATGATAGGTGCTTTATAAATACGTAATGAATGAACCAAAGAGAAAAAAATTATAAAGCCCTTGTATATGTTTACAAAACTTAGTGTCAACTCTTCTGATTTTTTTACACCCATCCTGTGAATATTATTGTTCCCCTTTCACAGAGGTCTAGAGAAGCGAAGCAACTTCCCCCAACTTCTCAGTGGAGGGGCCAGAGGCTACATCTTGCACCAGGCCAGTTCCCAGAGGCTAAGGGGAAGGGGAAGAGTTTAAGAAGAAGAGAACATAGTCCTCATTCCCATTACTCAGCACAGGGATTTTTAATCTCATGGCACACATAAGGTAATTGTGAAAATTCTGCAGCACACCAACAAATAGATTTTGGTCAATCTGACAAAAAAAAAGTATAATTTTGATTGATTTACCCAAAAAAGCGATTACTTACACTTTTTGTTCCAAAGTGACTTTTATTTTATTTTTAAAAAATATATTTGTATTGATTTTAGAGAGGAAGGGACAGATAGAAACATCAATGATGAGAGAGAATCATTGATCAGCTGCCTCCTGCGTGCCCCACACTGGGGAATGAGCCCACAACCCTGGGATGTTATCCTGACCGGAATCAAACCGTGACCTCGTGACTCCTGGTTCATAGGTCAACACCCAACCACTGAACCACACCAGCTGGACTCGAAGTGACTTAAAAAAAAAAAAATCAGGTGCTTATACTTGTATATAAGAATTTCTGGACCAAGAATTAACCAATCAGACACCACCTTCATATGCGCCATGACCAATGACCTATATATATCTTTATGGTTGAAGACAGGGCATCACACCAGACAGCTACTGTTGTGTTGACGGTTGCCATTTTTATTTGATAATCTACGGGAAAAGAGGTCAGTGCCCATGACTAAATAGTCAGGTGTTACATGTTTTAGAACTTCTTGCTGCACACGGGTTGAAAAATTGCTGACTTAGTGGGCAGAGGGGAATGGAGGCAAGTGGGAAGGGGAGGAAAGAGAGAAAAAGAAGAGAAGGAGTCAGAAAAGAAGCAGAAGGAGGTTAGAGGTGACTAAAAGTATGAAATGAAACAAGACATAAAACACACACACACACACACACACACACACATACACACACAAAAAAAACAAAAAACAAAACCCACAGAGCAAGACTCTGATGTATACCCGAGGGGCCTGGGTGGGATTTGGGAGGAGGGGCCAGAGTGGTTTTGTCACAGGAGGCAGAGAAGGTTCTAGAGTAGGGGTGTCGAACTCAATCAGAGAAGGGGCCAAAATCTAAAATCCAGCCTAAATCGCAGGCCGAATGGTTTACTGAACAGTCATAAACTGTCATTGTGATGGAAACGCAGCGGAGTGCAGTGATGACAGCGCGGTGCGGGCCACATTGCAAGGCCTGGCGGGACGGATTTGGCCCGCGGGCCTTGTGTTTGACACATGTGTTCTAGAGAGAACAGCTCAGAGGGTGTTGGGTCGTAACACCTATTTGTGGAGAGTAGGCATGTGCCACTGGCCCCTGGGTTCGATGTCTCCCTTGGGGTCAGAGCACTGGGCCCAAAGTTTCTGTGAAAAACACCACCTCTGCTGGCTGCGGCCTCCGTCCCCAGGCCTCCTCCCCTTGGGCTGTGTGTTCAGGCAACTGCTCTGCGTTTTTTCGGAACCATTTTGGACGCGCAGGCTGCACTTGTGGAACCAGAATGTCTGGTCAGGACCAGTTAGTTACAGGACATCTGCAGACCTTCCCGGTGCTAAGGTCAACCACAGCCCAGGCAGCTGTGGGCTGAGCCTCGTCAGAGAGGGTGAACGGGAGTGGAAGCCAGAGCCCCTACCCTGGAGAAGGAAAGCTGAGTGGGGCGAGGCCCAGTCTCCGAGTCTTCTATCCAGGTGCCCTTAGAAGGTAGCTCTGCTCTGTTTCAGGGGCTCCTGAGGGACTCCAGCTAGACCCTAGAATAGGGGTGTCGAACTCAATCAGAGAAGGGGCCAAAATCTAAAATCCAGCCTAAATCGCGGGCCGAATGGTTTACTGAACAGTCATAAACTGTCATTGTGATGGAAACGCAGCGGAGTGCAGTGATGACAGTGCGGTGCGGGCCACATTGCAAGGCCTGGCGGGACGGATTTGGACCGCGGGCCTTGTGTTTGACACATGTGCCCTAGAACATCGCCACGAGGAACTGCCAAGTATGAATGTGTTACGTGAAGAGGTGCAGTTTTCTTTTGCACCTTTTTAAAAAAATATATATTTTATTGATTTTGTACAGAGAGGAAGGGAGAGCGATAGAAAACTAGAAACACCGATGAGAGAGAGTCATCGATCAGCTGCCTCCTGCACACCCCCCACCGGGGATATGCCCGCAACCAAGGTACATGCCCTTGACCAGAATTGAACCTGGGACCCTTCAGTCCCCAAGCCGATGCTCTATCCACTGAGCTGAACCGGTTTTGGCTTCTTTTGCATCTTTTAGAGATGGTTTTGCTGAAGAAGGCCTTGCCTGGAGCAGAGGAATGGACTGTATGTGTTCCAGAAGACCATCTGGCTGATGGTTCATGGTATGCAGGGCCGATGCCAGGTTAGGACACCCGGTGGCGGGACCTAAGTGTTCTTCTGGGAATGAGACAAACCTCAGAAAGGGTTTTCAGGATTAAGATAAGGCGCTGAGCTCATTGTAGCCTCCGCAGCAGTCTGGGGCAGGCCTGAACGGAGGGAAGGAGGGAATGCGGACGCCATCAGGGCGGCTGGAATGCATGTTACAAAAACAGCCCGGAGTCCACAGAATCCAGCCAGGCGGGTGGGGGGTGCAATCGCAGCAAGCCAGCACTGGCAGGACAATGCGGAGCAGCTGGCCTCAACTTCCTCATTTTATTTTTATTTTATTTTTATTTTATTTTTAATATATTTCTTTATTGATTTCAGAGAGGAAGGGAGAAGGAGAAATAGATAGAAACATCAATGATGAGAGAGAATCATTGGCCGGCTGCTTCCTGCACCCTCTCCGCCCCCTCTGGGGATTGAGCCCAAAACCCAGGCATGTGCCCTTGGCCAGAATCGAACCCAGGACCTCTCAGTCCGCAGGCTGGCACTCTATCCACTGAGCCAAGTTGGCCAGGGCTCAACCTCCTCATTTTATAGACAGAAGAATGCAAGGTAACTCGTTTGCCCACGGTCACATGATAAGGCTGGTAGATTAGTGACAGGCAGATAGTTCAAGGCCTTATAGTCCTTCATGAGCCTCAGATATTCAAAGCCCCTGGAGAGTTCCAAGCCCTGGTCTGGAGCAGA